AGCATAGCACTCGCACTCTAGATGAAATGCCATAAGATCTAGGGGATCCTATTGTGTTTTATATGGTATAGTAAAGACTTAATCTATGCATTAGAATAATGATTACTGGAGTTAGCTAGAACAGATTGATTTCAGCAAAAATAATTACAGAAGGCTCTTAAAGTTTATTGCGCTAAATTCATTTTAAAATCAGATATGTGGTCCATACGATAAAAAACGAATCATCTCCAACTTGCCCCATAGGTTAACATTATTAGGAATCACTCAAGAATATTAAATTCTTAAAAGTCGCTCTTTAATAACTTGTCTTAAATTCTTCAACTTTGTGAGTTTACACATTTAATATACTAGTGCTTCCACTACATTGAAGATTAATTAAAAAATTAAATTATTTTCATAATTTCTGGTAGCCATTTACATAAAGTTTTTTATTTTTAATGTTCAACATTCATTTCGATAATCAACTTATATCGAATCGTAATTTTTAAAATTAAATTGCTTAGCTAAACATTTTTATCTTCAACTACATCTTACTTGAATAAAAGTAGCATTTTATTTGCATACTGAGTAGCTCCAACTTTTGAAAGCCAGATGCTCTTTATAGTAATGAGTTATTTGTCTTTGCATCTGCGTTTGTTTTTTCAATTGTGTATTTGCCGCTTAAACTGGAAACTAGTGTCTCGTTCCTCGTGTCCTTTTCTCCTTCTTGTTTGTATTCATTTTTATCTAATCAGTCCTTCCTTGTCCTTTCTAGATTGGGGTGATGCAGAAGCCTGCTTATCGTCCAAGCAGAATTAGGAGTGCAATCAATCTTGCTTTCAGAGCCTCAATTTTAGGCTCGTTTATCTTCGCTGTTGGTACGACAGTCTACGTCGTCACCGAGCTTGGTCGATACTACATTTTCGACAAGCCAGTTGCGAAAAAGCAAAAGAGGGAATACGCTGAGGCAATTCTTTTTAAATCTAAGCGCGAAAAAGAGCTTGGCCTAGTTGACTAATTTCCCTGTGTTTCATGGGACGATTCAAAATTAGT